TGCAAGACTCAATCCCCAGACCAGGGATCACACCCTGAGCCAAACGTAGACGCTCAACTGCTGAGCCACCCAGGCATCCCAATAGTTCAGGTTCTTATTCAAAAGCATAAGAAGAGTAAAACCAATGAGACAGTTGGTCAAGGAAGATGTTAACGTTAAACATCAATACAAAATATCTTAAGGGGCTACAGAGATTGCTAATCATGGGCCTGAGGATTTAAAGTATAAAATCTTTTGGAAATCTCAGGAGATAGGATACAAGGATGGAGACTCCTCATCCACACTTCTGTGAAGACAGTGAGGCCTGGAGGAAGACATTAGATTTTTAATTTTTCTACATTTTGTATTACACATATTTTCATATACTTAGAAAGGCCTCAACTGACACTAAACAAAGTAAGTAAACTGCTCTTGCTTCAGAACTTTAACACTATCCAACCAAAACATCCAAGAAGCAAACATCTCTCGAGTGAACTCTGCTCCTAATACAAACTTTAAAGTGAGCTAGTATGTCCAGTCAATTTCTTTACAAATAAACTGGATACTCAGATAAAAAGCAGCAGACTACAGATGGCAATCACTACTACAATAAAGTGAGAAAGGTTTCCCATAGTTTCCAGGTGTCTTCATGATTAGAATAAACGACTGTTTATTTGTTGTTAGAAAACAACAGTAAAATTAAATTATAAAGAGAGAATAATACCTGCCTTCATAGCTTAGAATATATGTAAGATATCTAGCTAGAAAAAATAACACAACATTAAACAGCTTTAAACTTAGGTTTCCAAACAAAAATTAAATATTGTAAAAGATGTCTGATAGAAAACACAGTTTGTGAAGAGTATTTAACAAAGATATCTCACCCTAGCAACTGAGAACTAAGTTCTAGAGATACACACACTGCACGGCAAAGGCCCACACCATGCCCCTCGTCGGCAGAGTGACAGCTGCAGAGGCCGTAGCAGGACGGACCCCTCGCCCCCCAGTAGCACTTGGGTTTATGAGGAGGGACCTGTGACTGAGGGGACAAGAGGAAGGGGAAGGAGTCAACAGAGAATACCAACATGCAGTGAAGGAACGGGTTTCCTGCCATCTGCTTCAGAGTTTCAGCAGGAGGACCACCCATGGACCTCTGGATACGCCCCATGTGAGGATGCAATGCCAGGTCCAGGGTACCCCAAAGCCCCAGATGCCAAGTCCACAACTCTCCCCACTCTGCCACCAGCCAAATGCATCCACAAGAACCAACTGTTACAGGAAAAACCACCAATGAGCTACAGCGCCACCTTCCACATGAAAAAGAAAGGTTTCTAATGGCCAGCCTGTTAAATCAGAAGATCCAAAGTAAACATAAAACCTTAATTAAGGAAGGTGATTGCTACTTCAAACGCTGAAGCAGAAGTCCATGTCTTCAAACACCATGAACAATCAAGGAAATAGGATAGCACACAAAAAAATAATTATCTGGCAACCAAACCCAAAGGCACAGAATACCACAATCTAACTGATAAAAGAATTTGAAAGAGTTGACATGAAGATATTCAACAAGCTACAAGAAAGCTCAAGACGGTAATTCAGTGAACTCAGGAACAAGATTAATGAACAGAGTAGTTATCAAGGAGATTATTTAAAGTTATAAAGAAGAGCCAAACAAATTCTAGAACTGAATAATTCAATAAATGAGATGGGGAATGAAGCATCAATAACTGGCAGACCAGACGGAAAGGAGAATAAGTGACCTGGAGGATAGAGATGTAGAAATAATTCAGTTCAATGAGGAGAGAAAACTAAGATTGTAAATAGTGAAGAATCCCTGCAAAAGCTGTAAATTTCAATCAAAAATGTCAAAAAGGCAAATACAAGAGTAATTGATGTACTAGAAGGAGCACAGGGGAGAACGGAGGTAGAAATAATAGCTGGAAACTTCCCAAACCTGGGAAGAAATTGGTATGAGGCCACAAAATGACAATACCCTATTATCTCAATGCAAAAAGATCTTCTCATTTTAATGAAACTGTTGAAAATCAATGCTAAAGAACCTTAAAGGCAGCCAGGGAAAGGAAAGTAATCCAGCAAAGGAACCCTACTGGCAGATTTCTCAGCAGAAACTCCACAAGCCTGGACAGAGTAGAATACCATATTCAAAGTGCTGAAAAATAAAAATTGCCAGGCAAATATACTTTACCTGGCAAAACTACCCTTCAGATATGAAAGAGAAATAAAGGCTTTCCCAGATAAACAAAAGCTAAAGCAATGTCCCCACAAGACTTTACTTGAAAGAAATGCTAAAAGGAATTCTTCGAGCTGAAATGAAAAGATGCTAATCAGTGACACCCTGCTACAGAAAACCCTAACCCTGCATTATAACAGCACTGTTGCCATTGAACTATGATATAAAGGTTAAAGGAAAAGAGTATTAAACTTTACAGCTACTATACTTTGTCAACAAATTCACATTATAAAATCAGTAAACTGACATTAAAAAAAAGGGGGAGGAATAAAAGGGTGGAGCCTATATAAAGGAATGAAGATAAGCTGCTTTCAGCATAAAATGATGTGGTTTTTTTTGTTGTTTTTTAAAAGATCTATCTATCTATCTATCTATCTATCTATCTATCTATCTATCTATCTATTTATGATAGACATAGAGAGAGAGAGAGAGGCAGAGACACAGGAGGAGGGAGAAGCAGGCTCCATGCAGGGAGCCCGATGCGGGACTCGATCCTGGGACTCCAGGATCGCGCCCTGGGCCAAAGGCAGGCGCCACCCAGGGATCCCCTAAAATGATGTTTTATCTATGACTTGTTTTACATAAACCTCATGGCAGTCACAAAGCAAAAATTTAGACTAGATTCACAAAACATTAAAAAAGGAGGGGCAAGGGGCACTGAGCTAATCACCATGGAAAACACCAGAAAGCAAACAGTAAGTTGGCCATTGCAAGTCCTTCCCTATCAATAATCGCTCCAAAATAAGTGGACTGAGTTATCCAATCAAAGGCACAGAGTGACTCAATGGATAAAAAAACAAGACCCAAACATATGTTGGGTCATTTCAGCTCTCAACACACACAGGCTCAAAGTGAAGAGATGAAAGAAGATCCTCCATGCAAGTGGAAATCTAAAAAAAGCAGGAGTAGCCATATATAATCAGATAAAATAGACTTCAAGCCAGAAACAGTAACAAGGGACAAAGAAGGCTGTCATATAATGATCAAGGGCTCAATAAATCAAGAAGATAAAATCATAAACATATATGCACTCACCACTGGGACACCTAAACACAGTAAGCAAATACGAACAGGTATGAAGGAAGAAACAGACACCACCTCAAAAATACTAGTTAACTTCAACACTCCAAGGTCAGCAATGGAGAGATGATCTAGACAGAAAATCAACAAAGAAACACTGGTATTGAACCACGTCTTAGACCAAATGGCTTAACGGACATACATACAACATTCCATCCCACAGCAGCAGCATACACATTCTTCTCAAGTGCACGTGGAACATTCTCTAGGGAACATCGTATGACAGGACACAAAACAAATCCTAGCAAGTTTAAGGAGACTGAAATCATATCGAGGATCTTTTCTGGCCACAATGGTATAAATGAGGACTCAGTAGAGAAAAGCTGAAGGGTGCCTGGCTGGCTCAATTGGTGGAGAGTGCGACTCTTGATGTGGGTGATGTGGGTGATGTGGGTTTAAGCCCTCTGTCGAGTGTGGAGGCTACTTTAGAAAAAATAAAATAAGAGAAAAAGTGAAAATTCTTCAAATATGTGGGAACTAAACAACACACTTCTGAACAACCTCTGGATCAAAGGAAAAATCAAAAGGGAAATATAAAATTATCCGGAAACAAAAGAAAATGGAAATATATCAAATCCTATGGGATGCTGCAAAAGCAATTCTGGGAAGAAAGTTAATAGTGATAAATGCAAACATTAAGAAATTAGAATGATCTCAAATAAAAAAACTAATTTTACATGAAGGAACTAGAAAAAGAGGAACAAATTAAGTTCAAAGTTAGCAAAAAGAAGATAATAATAATGATCACAGGAGAAATAAATGAAATAGAGACCAAAAAAACAATGGAAAGGATCAATGAAATTACGAGCTGGCTTTTCAAAAAGATAAACAAAATTGACAAATCTTTTGCTAGACTAAAAAGACAGAAGATTCAAATAAATAAAATTAGAAATCAATTCATACAGAAATATGTAGCATCTTAACAAACTATGATAAACAATCATATGCCAGCAAGTAAAACCTATAAGAAATGGATGAATCTCTAGTAACACAATATATACAAAGACTGAATAAGGAAAAGAGAAAATCTGAACAGACCAATAACTAGTAAAGTAATTCAATCAGTAATCAAACACCTAACACAGAAAACTCTAGGAGCAGATGGCTTCACTGGTAAATTCCAACAAACATTGAAAGAAGAATTAATGCCAAGTGTTCTCAAACTATTCCAAAACCAAAAATCAGCAAATGGGAGTACATAAAGCTTAAGAAGCTTCTGCACAGCAAAACAAAGAAACAAAAACAAGTAACAAACTGAAAAGGCAACCTACAGAAGGGGAGAACATTTTTGCAAACCACATATATCTAACAGGGGTTAATATCCAAAAAATAAGCAATTCTGACAACTCAGTAACAAAAAAACAAACAGTATGATTAAAAAAAATATACGGGTACAGTAACTAAACAGACACTTCTCAAAAGACATCCATTGCAGACAGGTACATAAACAAATGCTCAACATCACTTATCAGGGAAATGCAAATCAAGGGGCGGCCGCCGTAGCTCAGCGGTTTAGCACTTCTTCTGCCCAGAGTCTGATCCTCGAGTCCTGGGATCGAGTCCCATGTCAGGCTCCCTGCATGGAGCCTGCTTCTCCCTCTGCCTGGGTCTCTGCCTCTCTCTCTGTGTCTCTCATGAACAAATAAATAAAATCTTAAAAAAAAAAAAAAAAAAAAAGAGCACCCTGAGGTATCACCTCACACCTGTTAGATGGGCTCGTATCAAGAAGACACAACACGTATGGATGTGGAGAAAAGGGGACCCTTTCTAACCGTTGGTGGGAATGTGTATTGGTTCAGCCAATATGTAGAATACAGACGTTCCTCAAAAATTAAAAACATATCTTCCACATGACCTGGCAACTCCATTTCTATGTATACACCCAAAGGAAATGAAAACAATTTTTGAAAGACATATCTGAACTCCCATGTTTACTGCAGCATTATTCATAATAGACGAGATACAGAAACAACCTAGATGTTCATCCTTGCATTTATATTAGATTTAATATTATCCATGTTATCCAGCCACATGAGGGAAATCTTGCCATTTGAGACAACATGGATAGACCTTGAGTAATTATACTGTGAGGTAGGTTACAGAAAGGCAAGTAATGGATGAGATACTTGCATGTGGAATCTAAAATAGCCAGACTCCTGAAAACAGAACAGAATTCATGATTACCCAGTGAAGAGGGGGTGAGAAATAGGACTGACACTGCATAAGGGACACACTTGCACTGAGAAGTAAATAGGGCCTAAAGATCTATTGTGCAGCGTAATGAACAGAGACGGTCTTGTAAGATCCTCCTCAAACTTGCTGAGACTAGAATTATCCCAACCACTAAAAGAAATGATAAATAAATAGAGGTGCTCACTATGGACCTCTACACCACAATGGCAATCACTGTATAAGATATATACTATCAAATTACGATGTTTTACATACTAAATTTACTCAATGTTACATGTCAAAAATATTCTTATTAAAAAAATGGAAGAGTAACTGACATATAGGTGCTTAGAAAAGTTTAAGTCCATCATCAACAAATACTAATAGAAAAAAAATATCGAGTCAGTAAAATTCTGAATATACATGTAATTATCAACTTAGTCTCAAAATATAAAGGAACACATCTTGCATGAATATGACTGGGTATGTGCACACACATGCACATACACACACACACACACACAATTTCAGAAGAACAAACAAGTCAAGATATTTGCCAGAAATTGCAAACCCTGTAAGGAGATTCTCACTACCATCTGCCAGACTGTCCTCCATACAGCTCGGCAACGTGACTGCTCGACGGCAGGTGCTGTGACTCACACCAGTAACACCGTGGATAGTATCCAAGAGCAAACAAAACTAATTTCATTACTTAGATAGAAAACAAAACTGTTTCCTGAGGCACATGGAACCCCACAGCTTTAGCTGTTCTCCTAGACAAGAGGTATAGGACATTTAATAATGATTATCAGAATTACTGAATCCCTACCAGCCCTTCCTTGTTATAAATGTCACATTTGTTTCACTACCCACTTCTGCAGACCGCCGCCACCACCGCTCCAACAGAGTTAGAATTAATTAACGAATTAGTTTCTGAAAATTCCTGAGATGGGGTAGAGATGTGTGGAAGGAGTAAAACAGAAAATCTCATGATAGCAACCAAACTTTTAATCAAATACGATTTCCTTTTTTCTTCTTCAAAAGAATAGGAACAGCAAGCCCAACAAACTGCAAGCAGAATGAATGAATGAATGAACGAACGAACAAATGAATGCCCAGAGGAGAGCCCTGACGTATGTATAAAAATCAAGTGGGCAAAACAAACCAAAGTAAACGAGTGAATGTGCACAAAACAACGTACAGAACAGGAAGTCCGACTGCGAGAACAGAATAAGCTAGAAGGAATACACTGCACAGAAATACCTCATTAGTTCAGGGTATCGTCAATGGTCGAGTCATCTAAGCTTCCATACCTGTTTAGGGAGATGGAGACCACTTAACTTAACTCTAGACTTTATTGACTACCAAATCTAAGCGGGAATAATCATCAGTGAAGAATTTCAGAAGAAAAACGATAAAAGGAATGAACAAAATGATAAAAAAATAAAACCAAAGGCAAAAAAAGAATTTATAAAACACAAGAGAGAAAGTAAAAATGGACACAAATACGAAATCTTAGGGACAAAAATTATGAAACTAGATGTTTAAATATAGACTAAAAGTGACAAACATAGGATAAAGAAAGGTTGAAACTGAAAAGGTTGTAGGAGTCGTACAAGCAAAGGATGAATGGGGAGCTGCCAGGTGGTGCTGGTGTCCATCAGACCTGGGGCCGGGGCCCATCCAGGGATGAAGGTGGCCCCCACGGAACAGCCACGTCCAGCCTGGAAGAAAGACACGCTGTGAACTCGTCGCACCCGAAGAAAGTAGCCACAGAGCACATAGAGCCATTGACCAGAACCGTAGGAAATATATCCACTCTCATACCTGGAGACCCCAACACACCCCTTTGGAAGGTGATCATCCGAAAGCAAAAATTAAGTATACAGAAGATTAACGGAAAGCGTAACAAGCATAACCTAACAGATGCACAAAAACCACCACAGGTGGCAATTCCTAAACGGACACGCTTTTCACCTCCATGTGAAACACAAAGACACAGAGCCAGACCGCATTCATGGCCGCAACTACTTTCCTCGTCAAATTTCAAAGTTTTTATTATACAGATGATGTTCTCCGACCAAATTAGAATAAATTTACATTATCTTCCCAAGAAACTCACTAATCAAATCATTATAATGAGAAACAGAAAATTCTGTGAAGTGAATGTGGAAATATTTAGAGAAAACTAAAAGAAATGTATAGCCTTCCAGGTTTATTTGAAAAAACACATCAAGAACCAAATACACACAGTTATCAACCGACACAAATTAGATATTTATGAAAAAAGTACGAGAGAGAACGTAGGAGAGGCCCAAGACAGGAGTACAAACCGATGAGTCAGAGTAGACATACGACAGTGGATCACGAAGCGGGCTCTGACTCTTGAAATATTTGGAAATGCATAAACGTCTGAAGAAAGATCAAAGGGAAAGTCAGATAAGGCGCAAAACACCAGGAATATAACATCAGGCCATCCTACAACAGGCTGCAGATCTTAAGATAAAAAATATCATGACAACTATACCAATAAGTTTAAAAATTTAGAAATGAGAAATTCATAGAAAAATATTACAGTAGCTAGGAAATAGGAAGTAAAAACTCAAAAAAAAAAACAGCCACAGCAAAATAGTATTTGCCACCAACAGAAATTTTGTTTGAAAGGAAAACTTCATTCTCATGGAAATCAGAGAGCTTTTCTGTGGTGGGACTAGGGCCATTCCCCGTTTTGTTTATCAAGGACACATGCGGTGAACAGAGCATCCCTCCATCCCTAACCCTCACTGATCTCCCTGTCCCTCGACCTTCGTCAGATGGAGGAGGAGGAGGACACCATCTGCTCACAGGGGGCTCTGCGTCTGCGTGCAAGACACAGGTTCCCAGGGGAAGCCCCCCCGCCCCCGCCCTGCACACAGTGCACCAGGGCCGCTGAGATCCAGCTCTACCTGAAACCCCAACTCCTGAGTGGGAGTCAGACCCAAGGACCCAGGCAATGGACCACCCCGGCCAGGAAACACCCAGGCCCCTCTCCCCTTTGGCCTCACAGGCTGACTGTGTGCCAGCCCCATCTCTCCCAGTCCCTGACTCTCCCGGAGCATCTGGAGCATCTCATGGTTATCATCCTTGACCTCCGCACGCAGCCCTGCAGGGGGTACATTTGCCATGTGCAGGGAATGTGACTCAGCACCATCCCACCCCACACCCCAGTGGCCCCAGCAGACCCTCCATTCCCAGGGCATGCTCCTGCTCCCTCTGCCTGCTGTAAAAGCTTCAGGGTCTACGAGATGACAGACAGACATAAACCAGAACGTGGGGGACGGGGCAGGATGGGAGGCAGGCAGGCCTCTAGAAGGCTGCATTCAGGACCACGTGCAGTCTCATCAGACTCTCTGCTCTTCCTTCCAACGTCCTTTTAAATGCCTTGGCCCCCTTACGTAGGCACCAAGTGGGGTGGATATTAGAGGTCTTCGAGGACCACATCAGGATGGAGTGAGGGGTCTGAGGATTGAGGGCACTTCTCTAGGATCAGGATCTGTGCACGCCCTACGTAATGAGGCCAAGGCATTTAAGAGGACAACTGGGGAGAGGAGCAGAGCATATGATCCGAGTGCACACCAGGATCCCAACCTCTTCCCAAGAGAAGGCACCTGGCCTGAGACACCAGACCACAGCCTCTCACCACAAGGCCCCGGTACGTCTTTCTCAAAGAAGCCTAGGTCTTTCTTGCACACACTGGTCCTGTCCGCAGGTGGACAACGGGTTCCCAGGGCAGCCGTCCCTGGTCTCCCATCTCCACGCCGTCCCCGTGCTGTCCCTACGCCCAGCACTGCACGCACACACACAACACATATTTGTGTGTGTGAACTCAGAGAGAAGAGGTTCTCTCCGCTCTCTTACCACGGCTCTGAATTCATCATGCTATTGTTATAGCTGGTGTTTAGCACGTTTGCCACACCCTGCAATCAGGTATTGACCTGTTTACACGTCCGTGCTCAGGATGCTCCACAGAGCGCAGGACTCGTCAGACAAGCCCACTGCTGTAGCTCCAGTTCATGGCAAGGGGCCCGGCGCAAAGCACAGATTCCATCAATATCTGGGACAGCAATTAAAATGACCTTCCCACATCTAACCACCTGCACAAGGCCTTCTCTCCCTCCCAGAACCGATCAGCTCAGCCCATGTGATTCCTATGGACTTGGACGAGCAAGCCCCAAGGCTCCAGGCCAGGGCCCCGTCCCATCAGCACCCTCTCCATTCACGCCCGTCCCAGCACCTGTCACATTGTTGGCCTTTCAGTGTGTGGCTCTTCCCACCAACATGTGAACACAACAGAGAGAACTCACAGAGCCCTACGGCTTTTCATCAACAACCCAGAGCCCACCTGCGCCTGGGTCACGGTCAGAAATCAGGCTGTACTCAGAAGTTCCACGTCCACCCGGCAAAAAGGGTGGGACCGGATGGGCTGGGAGGACAGAGAGGGGTTAGCCCAGGGCAGACTGGGCACAGGACATGGGGCTGCGCTTCAACCACAAGCTAAGTCCCTGCCCCTTCCCACCTGCAATCCCCTTGGTGGAAACAGAGCTCTGATGCAGAGACAGGAGACACCAGGTCCTCCCTCCACCGTACCTGCAATCCAGGACACGAGGGCCTGAGCCGGCGTCTTACCTGCTCTACGTTCTTTTCCCATGTTGCTGTCCCTCAGGAAACCAACGTGAGCTTGTCCCTCGGGCAGGCTGCAGGCCATTGGCCTTGGGAAGGGAAATGTGGTATGGGTCGGGGCCGGGGGGCGGGGGTAAGGCCTGTCTCCTGCCTTCTTCATCCCCGTACCTGCTCCTGCTCATTGCTCACTCACCTGGGATGGCACACTCCTGTCTTTCCCCACAGCATCCCCAGTGTTCTGCTCCTGGGGTTTAGCCTCAGGAACACCCAGCTCTCGAGGCCGTTCCGTCTCTGCCCCGGGGAGCAGCGGCTCACCCTGCAGTATGTGCAGCAGCTGGAGGAAGGTCTGGTGCCTGGCAGGAAGAGGTGGGTGGTAGAGGGAAGGAAACTGGGGCACGCTGGGTTGGCAGCCCACACTCCCAACCTCACCTCTGAAGCCTGTCCCGCTTCTGCCCGGCCTGCTGTTGTAAGGCTTCGAGTTCCTGACGCAGCCGCTCAAGCTCTTGCTGAGCTCCTCTCTGCCGCTGTCTCACCTCCGCTGAAGCCTCTGCCAGATGCTGCAGATGCTTCTCCTAAGAGGAATGAGAACCAGACACAGCTCACCAGATGCGTCCGTCTCAGAGCACTCCAGGCTACATCCAACTTGGGGCGGATACCCACAGATGGAAAGAGGGACCCTACCCACCCTCAGGCAAAACAAGGGGCCTAGAGAAACAGTAGGGTCAGAACACACTATCCCAGTGTGAAGCATTTTGGAGGAAACAGACACAAGAATGGTAACACTTAGTTTGCTACCTGCCATATGTGCAGAGTATTCCTTTCAGTACTTGCTACGCTAATGACTTGATCAACTTAACCCTACGGAGCAGGTGCTAGTGTTGCCTCCACTTCACAGACATAGGAGCAGCACAGGAAGTGAGGGGACCGCCTGACGTCATGCACAGTGAGCGGCAACACTACCACTGAAGCCGCGCTGGCACCTCTGTGCTACCACCCATGCTACATGCCTCACGAGGGAAGAGGGGGACAGAGGTCTTTCAGGCAGATGACCGAGCCCATGCAATGGCGTAGTGGTAGGGACGGAACATGCTCCTCGGGGTGTGAACCTACCTGTTGCAGCTGCCACTGCTTCTGGGCTGTTCTCGCTCTCTCCATGGCCACTTGCTTCTGCAGGTAAGCACAGGAGGGAAACAAGCAGAGGAGGAGTGTTATCCTAGCTGGATTCTGGGAGGTGGTTGGTGGGTCCCACCCAGCACACCTGCCCTCCCCCTCCATCCCTCAGCCTGGCTGCACCTTGGCCTGGAGCTGTTCCAGGGCTTCCTGGAGCTGCATCCGCTTGCTCTGCGCCTCCTCCGTCTTGGCCTGGGCCTGGGTCAGGGCACCTGTGATGGCTTCCACGTGCTCCTGGTAAGTGGCCTTCAGCTCTTTCCATTGCTCCTTGACTGCAAGTGCCTTCTGCCCTGGGAGGAGCCACCACGGATGAGAACACAAGGGAGGCTGGCCTGCCGGTCGGCAACACCAGGGCCTGGGTCTTCCCATCAACCAAGGAGCTGACCTGACAGGCGACCGCTCCATTCCCATCCCAGCCCCACCCCCCCTACTCACGGCTGGTGTCTTCAGAAGCCAAGGGGTCTAGTCCCTGGACGATGTCCTCCTGAGCCAGGAAATTCTGCAGGAAGTCTACTACCTGAAGCTGACTGCAGAGCAGCTTGTCCTTCTTCCGGGAGTCCTGTTCGGGGAGTGGGCAGGGGACAGCACAGGCGGAGTGGGCGCTGCCCCCGGGCCCTGGGGGCGGTCCCTAGCTTCTCAAGCTGCACTTACCATCACGAACTCCGCCAGGATCTGGGCTGGCAGCTCTGCCTCCTCTTGCCGGCCCATGGGCTCCAGGATGTCCCCCAGCGCGGCCAGGGCCCTGAGGGCAAGAGATGGGGCGGGGGGAGGGTGCTGCAGACTCAGGGGCGCCGGACAGGCCCCAAGGGCTCTCCCTGCGCGGAGCTGCCCTGAGCTGCAGGCCGCGGGGTGGGAGGGCACAGGGCGGACAGAGGACAGCTGCCTGAGCACGGCGGGCAGAGCTGGGGGGGCGGGGGCTGTGGGCACAGGCACAGGGCGGACAGAGGACAGCTGCCTGAGCACGGCGGGCAGAGCTGGGGGCCGGGGGGGGGGTTCCCTCTCCGGAGTCAGTCAGGGAGACGCGGGGCCGGGAAGGGAGGGGCCGCGCTGGGCTGGCGCGGGCACCTTGCCCCCCCTCCCCCCCGAGACCTCGGCGCCCCGACCCGGCGGCCCAGCGGGGCCCGTGTGCGCGCGCAGCGGCCTCGGAAGCTGAGCGACCCCGGCAGACGCGTCCTGCGTGGCCGAGGCAGGCGGAGCGCGGGGACCCCGGGCCGGGAGCAGCCCCTCCCCCCCGGCCCTCCCCGCCGTCCCCCGGCTTACTCGAGCGCTTGGGCGCGCGCCCCGACCTCCGCCTCCGCCTGCGCCATCCCCGCCGCCGGAGCCTCGGCTCTTCCGCCCGCCGCCCCTACCGCCCTTTGAATTCACCGCCGCTACGCCCCGGGACCGGCGATTGGCTGCGCGCGCGGTGGGGCGGGATCTAAGGGCCAGAGTGCACTCTGATTGGCCAGCGCGGACGAACGGTCGGCCCGCCGGATGTTTGGCGCCGGCGGGGTCGTGGCAGGGCGTGGCCGGCGAGCGGGCGTTCTGCGCATGCGCGCAGCCTTAGGCGGTGCCGGAGCTGGGGCGGGGCGAGGCGGGGCCGGGACCGAGGGGCGGGGGCGGGGCCGAGAGGCGGGTGTGGGTGTGGGGGCGGGGCCGGGGCTGCGGAGCGAGGTCTGTTCCGACTTCGCGGGACCCAGAGAACGAGTCCCCGAGTGCGGGTTTCTGGGGAGACTCTGGGCAGTGAACTTACTTAAAAAATTATGTTGCGGTAGAGGGAGCGCACTGCGTGTGCCTCTCCAGACGCTCGGCATCGCTGGGGGAGAACAGGCGGACGCAGGGGGCCGGTGATGCCCGGGCGGGGCCTGCCGACGTGTCGGGGCAAGTCCTCGGGCCCCGGCAGCGGGAACTGGGGTGCGCCCCTCCGCCCACCTGCCGGGGTCGGCCCACCTGCTGGCGTTCCCCCACCTGCCGGGGTCCGCCCACCTGCGGGGGTCCGCCCACCTGCGGGGGACCAGGTGTGTCCCCTCAATCCACCTCCCAGGCTCCGCCTACCTGCTGTGGGGCCCATGAGGCGGCCCCTAAAGGGCTTAGGGAGCCAGGAGATGCGGAGAGGGGAACCATGACTGCACCAGCTGGGGGCGGCGGCTAGAGCACCCACATGTGTGTCTTCCTGGTGGGGAGCGGTGACCTTAGACTGATCACCCCTCTAACGCGATGTGGCATCTCAAAAGCAAGACCCAAGTGGGTCAGACTGCGAGCAAATTAACTAAATATGTGACAGACCAAAGCACAATAATATTTATAGAAACAGAAAAATGTCCAGCAGCCATTAAGGTACAATTTACAGTGTCTGCCTCCAATTAAAAACTATAAAGTTTGCAAAAAAAAGGAGGAAAAGAAAACCCATAATGAGAAGAAAAAAACAAACACTGATCAGAAGAGAAATAGATGTCAAAAACAGTTAATGTTCAAAAAAAAATAAGCAGAGTTATAACAAAAAGTATAATAAGAGGTAAGGACTTACAGAAAGTGGAATGTTGGTATTGCTAGTTGGAATAGAAAATGATGCATCTGCCTTGGCAATTTAGCAGTTCCTCAAAATGTTAAAAACAGAGTGACCATGTGGACCTCAATTCCACTTCTAGGTATATATCTAAGAGAAATGAAAGCATGTTGGCAAAAAACTTGTACACAAGTGTCCATAGCAGCATTATTTACAAGGGCCAAACAGTAGAATCAATCCAAAGATCCATCAGCTGATGAAGTGGAAAACAAAATTGACATCCATTCAAAAGGGTATTTTTCAGTAATAAAAGAGAATGAGGTATACGTTCTGAAGCATGGATGAACCTTGAAAACTTTGTGCAAAGTGAAAGAAACCAGTCACAAAAGACCGTATTGCATGATCCCATTTATATGAAATGTCCAGGTCAGGGAAATCTAAAGAATCAGAAAGTTGACTAGTGATTGACCCGGCTGGGATGGGGGTGAGGGAGCTGGTGGGAAATGGGAGGCAGTGGCGAGGGTATGGAGAGGACATGGGATTTCTTCAAATTAAAGTGTTCTAAAATTAGATTATGGAGAGATCACACAATTGTATACAAAAAATCTATTCAATTTAAATGAGCCTCAATAAAGCTCTTTAAAAAGTTAATCAGAGATATGAAATATAAAGACCTAAGTCAAACTTGTACACGTGAAAACTATAATGTGATAGATGAAAATAGGGTAGAAGCAAATTAAACATTACATAATGAAAAAATGAAATTAAAGACTTAGCTTTAGAAACTAACATGAATTATAGAAAATTAAAACAAAATAAAAAGAACAAAATAACAGTGAGCTGTGGAACAATTTGTAACATCCTAATTACACTTATAAATGAAGTCCCTGAGGGAGGCAAGAGAAGAGGAGAAAAAAAATTAAGTAATAATAACTAAAGATTTTGAAATTTGATGAAGACTTTAAATTAGGAGAAAATCCTGAAAAAATAGAGATAAATAAATTATAAAATAAATAAAAGAGAAAATGTTGAAAGCAGCTTGGGCAGACAGGGAGGTATGTTATATAAAAATAAATAAAAATAAGAATTACAGTAACTTTCTTAATGCCAACAATGCAAGAAATAGCACAGCAGAGCAACATCTTTAAAATACTGCTAGAACATAAATGGACAAGTAAATAAATAAATGTACTATTAAAGGAAACAAACCTTCCAGAAAATGAAGGTTAACGAAAGACACATTTGGACATACAAAAGCTGAAGGATTTTATCATTAACTGATCACAAGCACTATGAGAGTCTATTAGGGAGAAGAAAATGACACTAGATTGAAATCTGAATGTATCCAAAGAAATGCGTAGCACCCGAAATGGTACCTACATGAATAAAAATGTGCCTTTCTTAAATACTTAAATCTTTTTTAAAAAAGATAAGGAATGGAGTACCTGGGTGGTTAGGTCGGTGAAGCATCTGCCTTCAGCTCAGGTCCTGACCTCAGGGTCCTGGGATTGAGTCCTGCATGGGACTCCCTGCTCAGCGGGGAGTCTGCTTCTACCTCTCCCTCTGCTGCTTCCCCTGCTTGCATTCTCTCTCTCTTTCTCTCTCATATAAATAAATAAAATCTTTAAAAAGAAAAGATAATGAACTGCATGAATAGAAATAGCAATATTGTGGGGTTTATAACATATACAATAGTAAAATGTAGCACAAAAAGAGTATGAGGGGATAAAAGAAATAAAAGTAAATTATCTATCTTTGTCATTTATGTAAAGCTGCGTATCAGATGAAAGTAGACTCTGGTAAAACAAACCGTGGACTACAACTCTTTAGGAAGTGGTGCTGACAACCCCCAGGGTGGCCACCAATGCCACTCAGATCATCTTTCTCTGTGAAATCTAGGACTTTTCTAAACAATGGAATAGAGCACTGGTGGTGGGGTATCATCTGTCCATTAGGCTACCTTAAGCAAAACACATCACTTCTATGACTTCACCTCATCATATAATGCTCCACAGCAAACCTGGGACAGAGCTCCCTTTCTGACCTTGAAGAAGCAAACAGGCCTGTTGGATCTGCCAGCGGTGAGGATCATGTGGGCTCGAGGACCTGAGACTAGATTCTAGCTGGTAGGGAGTAGGATAGGGCCCTCTGTCACACAACCACAAGAGGCTAAAGTGGTGCTTGGAAGCAGATTTTTTTCCCTAATTGAGCCTACCAAAAGAGTACCGCCAGGTTAACATCTTGATTGCCACCTTATAAGACCCTGAGAAGAATGCAAAAATCCTGCCCAACAGAAACTGCCTGAAATCCTGACCCATGGAAATTGTGAGATAACAAATGAGCCTTTTTTTAAGATTCTGAATTGTGGTGATTTGTTTTGCAGCAAAAGAAAACAAGTGACTTCTAAAATAAGAAAGCAGAGAGTTATAGCTACTAAGCCAATAAAATCGATAAAATAAAATCTAAATAATATTGACAAATCCAAAAGAAGACAGAAAAAGGGAAGAAGGAGGAAAAGAAGAGATGAAGGAAACAGAAAGTAGGAAAATAATAGATTTTAAGCCTGATTACATGAATAGTTACATTAAATGTAAATGCTTTAAATATGCAATGGGCAGAGATTAGCAGATTGAATCGAAAAGCCAATTACATTAAGAGATGCAACAAGGGCGCCTGGGTGGCTCAGTCAGTTAAGCGTCTGACTCTTGATTTCAGCTCAGGTTGTAATCTCTGGGTCCTGGGATGGATGTGTTCTGCATGGAATGGGCTTGAGGATTCTCTCTCTTTCAACCTCTACTCCCTCCCCCTCCCCACTTGTGTGTGCTCGCTATCCCTCTCTTTCTCTCTCTTAAAAATAAATAAAGACTTATTTTTAAAGATGTTATTTATTTATTCATGAGAAACACAGAGACAGAGGCAGAGACACAGGCAGAAGGAGAAGCAGGCTCCTCGCAGGGAGCCCGATGAAAGACTCTATCCCAGAACCCTGGGATCACACCCTGAGCCAAAGACAGATGCTCAACCACTGAGCCACCCAGGTATCCCTAAATAAATAATAATAATAAAAAAAAGAAATACACTAAATATAAAGACAAATAGATACAAGTAGAAGGGTGGAAAAAAATTTGCCATGCTAGTGCTAATTAAAAGAATGTTGGGGTGGTTATTTCAGTATACATGTGAGTATTCAGAGCAAAAATTCTACCAGTAATAGAGAAGGTGATTTCATAATGATTGAGTGGTCATTGATCAGTTCATCGTGTGAACTTAATAATCACCTTGATTTACACTGTATAAGAGACCATCAAAATATATGAATTGAAAACTGGCTGATTTGAAAGGAGAAATAAATCTATAGTTAGTTACGTTGGGATTTCAGTAGGCCTTTTACAACATTCTATAGAATACTACATGTAACAGCAGTATATTCTTCCCCAGTGCACACCAAATGATCAAACAAGTCCATATATGGATCATAAAATGCATCTTAATAAATATAAATAAATAGAACCATAAAGTATGTTTTATGTCTGTAAAAAATCTAAATAATTTCCTCTACATGTTTTTAAAATGATGAGGTACTCTAATAGAGCAGTCTTTTTTTTATTTTTAAGAAAATCGAGTTAATTCTTAAACTTTCTTTAGATTTCTGCTCCAAATGCTTTACCTATAATCCTAGATCAAACCTCTTTATCACAGATACACAAAACTGTGGATTTTATAATACTGATTGCAGTTGCATTTTTACATTTGATTATACAATTATTTGATTGATACCTTCCTCCTTTCCTAATCAGCAAACTCATTGAGGGCATGAGTTGGATATATTTTTGCTCATAATCAATGGTAAGCAATTAATAATAATTT